GATGAAGAATGCACCCCTCCACTGACAACGCTCACATCCCACTCATATACTGATATACTAAAACAACAGCAGCGAACACGCTCTTACAATCTACGAAGTAGAGAAGCGTGAAAAAAATAACTTACTGCTCAGTCTCTTTCCCACTACAAAACACATACTCGAAGTGTTTCACCTTCCATAAACGGTCGTTTCCCAGCCGAAGTGAATGTCATATTCTGGTTCTCTTGTTTATACACCCTTTTCTATTGCCTAATACATAAACCTCTTTTTTCTATTACAGCTCATGTACCGGATTTATTAGTTGAGTAAAGCGTATAATTCCGACTCTAAGTCTTCTTCAGCCTGCTCTCGTTTGTTTGATTCGTAAAAAACTACAACCATCTTTCTTTTCGTTCATGGTATCACATTCTTTAAACACAGCTCAAACATTCTGGATTAGGTTGAATATTTCCACAGTTGAAATACATCTGCCGATTGTGACGTACTCATCCGATTGTATTCACACTACGCATAATAAACGGATGCTGAAACTCAAAACAATGCCGTACCGGTACTCCGAACACAAGCGAAATGTAGCTCAGGGTATTGATAGACCAGTGCTCAAGCCATCCACGAAACGTTCCAACTAATCTGGGATTTTATTCAACACGAGAACGCTTACAACAAGTTTAAGTCGATCGGCTGATTGCCTAGTAAAAAAACCACGATACCACGATTTGGTCGAAACAGAACAACCTGTAAATTCGTATCTGCTAACTTTGTACCACATGCTGCTACGAGTAAAAAAGGCAGACGGAAACAATTCACAGTCCCACGTTTCGGTTATTAAAACGGGTATATCACTCAAGATCCCAGTGGCATTCGTGCAACAAGGACAGGCAAAAGTGAATGGATGTGCTCACAAATGGTAATTGTATTGTACTGTTTAGCTTTTGTAAGCACTGAAGCTCAAATTAGTTTTTAAAAGATATGTCTACTGTCACAGGAAATGACTGTGGTTGGATTTGATTTTGAATGTGAATGTGACAAAACTCGACCCGTCAAAACGTTGAGCAGACAAAAAAGGTTTCCATGCTGCAATAATATATAATACATATCCATTTGCCATTCGGTCACGAAGGCATTGGTGAAAAAACTCACTTTGCTGTTTCGGACATAGCACGAATTGTTGGTCCGTCTTTGATGGATTCCGCGTAAGTATCGAAGTAACTGGTTCCGTATGGTGAGTTAAAGCACTCGGGAAGACAGACTAGACGGGCGGAATGTTCTGCGACGGCCCGTGAGACCAAATCACTCGCGCGTTTCAGATTGGCCAGTTTATCTGGACCAACGAGCATTTGAACTAGTGCAAGGCGCAACATCTTCTAAATGCCTGTAGCAAACAGAAAAAGAAACCTCAGTTGATGGATTTTCGAGGACCAAAAATTACATTTACTGACGACCGGGAAACGAGCTCTTAATTTGTTGTTTTCGCCCAACAGGAGCGGTAGCGAAGTTTTAGCTCAGTTTTTACAACCAATAACTATGCAGTTTCATGCACGTTATATTTTCACAGACCTCTGAGTTCAGACTGTCTACCATACGAGTCACGGTATAATAGCGAGAAAAAAGTCCATGATTTGCTCGAGGGAGCAATACTACTAGGTTGCCGAGGCCAATGCAGGTGAATTTTCTAAGAGAATTCACAACCGGGACCTTCGACTAACTAAACCCTGATCAGGAGGAGAAATGAGGAGAGGAAGTGTAAAAGGAGGGACAAGAGAGCCATTGGAATGAAGAGGGGTGGGGATTGAGGCAGGCTTCAGCAGCTTGGCTCGTTACTCTCCTTCGGTGAACAAACTAAACCATAAGTTTTCCTAAATGCGCGTGAAGTTAACCGCTGAGGTGGCGGCGATGACTTCGTTTAGCAGTTTATTCCAATCACTTACGACTCTCACCGGAAAGGATGTCACCGGCAACTGACACCGAACCCCGTCCCTGGCGAGTTTCAAGGCATGCCCTCGAAGTGAGGTGGTTTCACTTAGCTTCAGTAGCCCCTGGGAACCACCTCCTGTCTGTAATCCTTTTGAGGATCTCAAACCTCTATGAGGTCTCCTTGCCGCCTCCGTCTCTCCAAGGAGAAGAGGTGCA